TTTATTGATTTTTTACAGAGGAAGGGAGAGGGATAGAGAGTTAGAAACATCGATCAGCTGCCTCCTGCATACCCCCTACTGGGGACGTGCCCGCAACCAAGGTACATGCCCTTGACCGGAATCGAACCTGGGACCCTTGAGTCGAACCTGGGACCCTTGAGTCCGCAGGCCGACGCTCCATCCACTGAGCCAAACCGGTTAGGGCCCATCTTGCTGGGACACGGCCCTGACCAGCTTGGTTAGCTAGTTTTCTGCCCTTTGCAAATAGGTGTGTGTGGGGGGGGGGGTTCTTCTGCAGGCCTAATGAGAGGACCACAGAGAATCTGAGAGCCAGAGAGAGATTGGAAAATTATGAAAAGCAGATACAGAAACAGAAACTAAATATTTTAGCAAAAGAGGAAAAGGCACAGCGCTTCTGAGAAATCCACAGTGTGACTGCACAGCACAATAAATAATGTTCATGATCGTGACCCCGAGCAATGAGTGGAATGTTGAATTAGGCTGAGACTCTCATGTTGAGGAAGACCAGGCAGTCCATCTGGGCCCTTTGGCTTTGCCCTTGAATGAGCAAGCAGACTTCAGTTAGCTCTAGACCTGTGCATTGTGTGTGTGTGTGTGTGTGTGTGTGTGTGTGTGCGCGCACGCGTGTGCTGGGATAGGGGAGGGAGACTGAATTCTATGACATTCAGAACAAATGACTTCACACATGATTAATTGTGCCCCCCACACGCCCTGCACTCAAGGCTGCGGTAATTGCCCCATTTCAGGATTTGGAGGCGGCACATCTGACCTTCTAGTTTTCATCTCCACACCTCTTCATGCCTCTTCTGACAGATAATTACGGCTGAGTGTGAGCATCAACAGGAAGGCAGACGTCTTACCTTCATGTCGGGCACTTAATGAGCATTTTAAGGCAAATTATTAATAACAGCGCTCAAGAAAATGAGATCAGCCAAAGCTTCTGAGATATTGACTTATATTGTGACTATGGAAGAAAAAGGCCATTTCCATGACAAATAGGGGAACTTTTATGAAGTAATTAAATATTCATATATCCAGCAAATATTTATTACATACCCTTAATATTCAAAATATCTTATTGGGAACCACAGGGTACACAAAACCATACATGATTCAGTTTCTAATCTAATGGTGTTTACAACCAGGGAGTTTTAAAAAGATATATTGTTCCAAAGACATGCAGTATAAAGAAGTGTCAAAATGTAGTTCAGGGGACTCTTCCCTCTCCCCACATGGGAGTCCGTTCTGTGGACCCTTTCCCCCTCCCAACGTGGGATTCTGTGCTGTGAGATTCTTTTTTTAAAAATATGTTTTATTGATTTTTTACAGAGAGGAAGGGAGAGGGATAGAGATTTAGAAACATCGATGAGAGAGAAACATCGATTCAGCTGTCTCCTGCACACTCCCTACTGGGGATGTGCCCGCAACCAAGGTACATGCCCTTGACTGGAATCGAACCTGGGACCCTTCAGTCCGCAGGCCAACTCTATCCATGAGCCAAACCGGTTAGGGCTGTGCTGTGAGATTCTTTCTTCTTCCCCATGTGGGAGTCTGTACTTGTTCTTCAATAAATTTCCACCTTTGCTATAAAAAAAATGTAGGTCAATCTTAGCACCTGAGGAGGTGAGGAGTAGGGGTGTCTCAGGAGAAAGGACCCCTGAGCTGCCACGGAAGGGTGGGTGGTGTGGTGATGGGCAGGAGCAGGAAGGGGGCATCGCTGGTGCCCTGTGGAGGGATGGTCTGGGCAAAGTCATGGACTATGAGATACTGATGGAGGAGTAGCTGGAGGTGGGCAGAGGCCAGACTATAAAACATTTTTAAATTGTTTTTATTGATTGATTGATTGAGAGAGAGAGAGAGGGAGAGGGAGAGAGAGAGAAAGAGATAGAGAGAGAGATTTGTTGCTTCTACTTATTTATGCATTCATTGGTTGCTTCTTGTATGTGCTCTGACCAAAGATCAAACCTGCAACCTTGGTGTATCAGTACAACACTCGAACCAACTTAGCTACTTGGCCAGGGCAGACTGTATTTTTAAAATATATTTTTATTGATTTCAGAGAGGAAGGGAGAGGGAGAGAGACATAGAAACATCAATGATGAGAAAATCATTGATTGGCTGCCTCCTGCACACCCCACACTGAGGATTGAGCCCCCAACCCCATGCCCTGACCGGGAATTGAACTGTGACCTCCTGGTTCATAGGTCAACGCTCAACCACTGAGCAACCAGCTGGGCTGTAAGGCATTTTAAAATGTCAGGCCAAGGAGTTAAGCTTTACTCTTTGGAACGTGGAGTGACTAATAGAGGTGGTGTGAGGGGAAGGACTAGAAGGCCTCGGCAGGGGCCCAGACCTGGAGAGGGGGAGGGGAAATTTTTAGTTTCATGGAGCCTGACAAGTTTATGCCAGGTAAGGTCAGGAGGACAGTGAGCTTTCTTTTTGGTCAGAAGATAGCAGGACAGAAAATAGTGGTTGATAAGGCTCTATGGGTTACAGCAAGGAGGGGGATTCAGCCTGCAAGACACTCTCTGCCCCAAAGGGCTTCCCCAACGTCAATGTTTTGAAATCTACAAAACCTATCTTATCTGCAGGTTGACATTTTGCAACGTTGAACTGATCCCATAATCATGTGATGTCATAAGAGGTGCCTTGAATCTCCCCTGCAGGTAACCCACGCCTGGTGGTGAGTCCCAAACCTGTTGCCAGAGTTGGTCAAGACCCTTCTTTCTCCTGTGCTTCGAGTGTGCCTGGCACCCTGTCCATGCACAGCAAACGCAGATGTTTGTAACTGTGGTTTCTATGAAAGCCTCGTTCAGGTCAGACCTTCATTTACTGGTTTGTTCATTCGGCCGAGTATGCCGAGCCCCGCTATGTGCAAGGGGCCAGGCCACGTCTGTGGCTCCCGACCACAGTGATCTTCCTGTTCTCTGAAATCCTGCTCTGAGGAGCATGCGTGGTACATCCTTGGTTTGCTTCACTGGCAAGTCCGTCCTTCCGGGGGTGAAGGCAGTCGAGGTTCACCAGTGGGTAAGATCCAGACACACCTCCAGGGAGGAGTGGATTGAGGGTCCTCTTTGTGGGGCGCCTCTAAATGTGTCACCGTGACGAAAACAGCATCGCTGGTGCGTGTGGCAGCTGGTACCTGTGGGTACTCCATCTGGGCCAGCCACTGAGGTCCAACCTCTGTAAAGACAGAGAAATTTGTCTTTGCAGGGACTATGGGATGTTTCCCAGGTTACACAGACTGTAAACTCAGTTTGAACCCACAACAGTTGGGCTCCAAAGCTTAGGCCCTTTAGGTATGAAATAGGATTGCATTTGGCGGCAGGTAACAACCTGAGCACCATGTCCTGGACAGGTGCAGGGTTCGCTGCCTTATTTCTAATGCGTAGCACAGGGCCAGGCACACGCTAAATGATGATAAACAAATAATAATGTGATAGGAATTCAATAAATGTTAAATGAATCCAGGAGCGAATAATTTCCTTATGTAATACTTCCACTAATACCTTGCATCAATGTAGCCAACTTTATTGTTGGTGCTCCCTGGCGCTTCAGGGTAATGGAGAAGACCCTGTGCTGCTCGACCTGTGAACACATTTTCTGTGGAGGCTGGGACAGGTTTTCATATTCCCATTTTGCAGAGGAGGAAACTGAGGCATAGGACGTTCAAGTGACTCGTCTGAAGTCCAGAGTAAGGGCATCATTGTGTCAAGTTCAAAAGCTCTTCCTCTAAGTAACGGCGGAAGTGAGGGGACTGGCCTTTCCTCATTAGCATTCTTTCCAAACAGGTGTAGAGACCTTACCAATGGGCCATCCTATTAAATGCCACAGCCAGGAGCTCCCAGCCTGCGCTTCCCCTGTGGGCCTCCGTCCTGCTTTGGAAAGCAGCTGTGAGCCTCGAGTTCCGAGAGCAAGGGGAAAAACGCATTAGGTTCTCTAATATGATAATAACATAAAAGAAATATATGGTGCCCCAGAGGGAGAGAATTACAAATGGATGAAAGGTGCTTCTGTGATGGAGAGGCTTTTGTTACAGGATATAAAAGTGAATCGCAGGAAAGAGTGCAAATAGAACCTGCAGCACACGGAAGGCAATGGGCCTGTTTCACTGGCGCGTGCACTGCAGGGCGGTGCCTTTTTTTTTGTTGATTCTCACCCGAGGATATTTTTCCATTGATTTTTAGGGAGAGTGGAAGTGAGAGGGAAAGGCAGAGAGAAACATCGATGTGAGAGAAACACATCGATTGGTTGCCTCGTGCACGTGCCCTGTCTAGGGCCCGGCTGGGAAGGAGCCTGCAACCGAGGTACGTTCCTTGAGCAGAATCAAACTTGGGACACTCTATCCACTGAGCCAAACTGGCTAGGGCGGGCGATGCCACTTTTAACATTTCCTGCCTTGTCAACTTCCAGGCAGCCCCATAGCCTCTTGCCTGCTCGCCAGTCTTCAGGACCCTCTGGAGCGTCCAGTGAACGGGAGTGCCTTTGGCCGGGTCGTTGCTGCCTTTACTTCTCCATCTCCCGAAAGGTTCTTGGTTGTTCCCTGAAGTCAGACCCTGGCAGGCAGAGATGGGTGATGGCTGAGGCTTGCTTCTCAGTGTTCCCTCCACCGAGACTGCTGTGCCTGCTGTGCCAGGACGGTCTGTGTGCTTGGCTGAGGGCATGCGAGGAGCAGCCCTGGTGAGGGACAGCGAGGGATCGGAAGCTCAGCTCCCAGGGAACCCAGACCTTGTGGACACAGGTCAGGCTCCTTCAGGGCCTCTGGTCTCTGGCACAGCCCCTTTCCCTCCCGAACTCCCAGGCAGGCGTCATGAGTACTCCCCGAAGGGGAGCACCTAGAGGCCTGCACCCCAGATACACACTCCATGGTGGGGTTCGGCACACTGCCCTCTACTGCAGGCCTCGGTCTGCCTTGCTTGCTCCATCCCAGCCCTGCCCAGTGGGAAGCTCCCAGGATGCTCCCAGCAGCCCATTTCTGCCCTGAAACCCAGCTGCGCTTGGCCAAGGCCACTGGCCATTCAGGAAGTAAATCCTCCTTTTGTTTCTCCCAAGTCTTACCCCTTCCAGACTTCTCTGTCCTCAAAGAGGCTCCTAACAGTCTCCACCTGGTACAGATGCTCTTTGGCTTAATTACTGAGCCTCTTTGTTGTTGTTGTTGTTAATCCTCACCTGAGGATATTTTTTCCATTGGTTTTTTAGAAAGAGTGGAGGGACGGGGGGAGACACAGAGAGAGAAACACTGATGTGGGAGAGACACAGTGATTGGTTGCCTCCTGCATGTACCCCCGACTAGGGCCTGGGATCAAACCTTGACTGGGAATCGAACCTGTGAGCCTTCGGTGTGTGGGCTGACACTCCAGCCACTGAGCCAGACTGGCCAGGGCCTGAGCAGCTTTTCTCCTTTGTCCTCAGACCGTGGCTCTCCTGTCCTGCAGGTAAGCTTGGAATTTTATTCTAAGCTTTTTTTTTTCTGATTCCCATTCTCTTTACTCCGGCCTGTTGTTGGCACAAACAAGCCAGGCCGCCCATCTCAGTGTGGGCATGGAGGAGACGATGGGTTCCCCCAGGACCAGGAGGGATGGGGTTGGGGTGGAAGGCCCCAGGGCGTGAGGGGGACAGGAGGCTTGTCTTGTCCTCCTCACTGTCCTGGACTCGCCTTGCAGCCTGGCTGGCCCTACCTCCTCTGGGACCCACCTCTCCCTTCTGCTCAGGGGATGCAGACCACCCATGCCTGTCCCTCTGCTGATCCAACCAAATGACTCATGTGGGCCAGTCTTCTGACTGGAGGATAAAAGGCCCGGCCCTCAGCACCTAGACTAGAGGATGTGCCGCATTGCACAGGTGCGGGAGGGTTCCTAGGGGCTGAGGCTTGGCCCCTGCCTGGCCTACACCTGCTGGTTCCTCAAAATACACCACAGGGAGCCACACATGTTCACATCAAACGTGCTGATAAGAGCCCTGGCTGGTTTGGCTCAGTGGATAGAGCGTCGGCCTGGGGACTGAAGGGTCCCAGGTTTGATTCCGCCCGCTTGTGCAGGAGGCAACCGATCTGTGTTTCTCTCACATTGATGTTTCTCTCTGTTTTTCCCTCTCTTCTGCTCCCTCTAAATATCAATGGAAAAATATCCTCGAGTGAGGATTAACATCAACACAATAACAAAAAAGTGCTGATAACAGTGGGATACCTTCACTCTCTTCAACCAGAACTCAGTGCTGATTTTCAAAGGTGAGATCATCGTGTGCAGACTTCCTTCTGAGTTTAGACAGAGCTGGCCCTCTGAGCCTGGCTGCCCGGGGACACAGACACCATCGGGCGTTCTAAGCCGAGGTCCCGGGGAGCGGGGCCTCTCCCAACAGCCAGCAGCGGCCACTGCCCAGTGGCTCTGTGACAGGTTCTCCTTCCTCAGAGGTCTTGTCCTTGGCCCCTCGAATGCAACTGAGACAGTAAAGCCCAGAAGCCCTAGAAAGCGCTTACATAAGCTAGAGGCTGCCACCCACGTGCTCCGAGCTACTGGAGGGCAGGATCCCTGGAGCCAGAGCTTCCTGGGGGACGTGAGCAGAGAGCAGAGTGAGCCTTCCCAGTGCTCAGGGGTGTGCGGAGAGGAGCCCCCCGCTGGTGCAGCCACAGGCCAGTGTTCTGCTCCGCGCAATCACATGCGGTTTTATTTAACACACCAGGGGCAGAAAACAAGGCATTAATCCTTTTTGTCTCTACCGCCATCCGCTGATTTGTTCTCACCCTTGCAATATTGATGCGATTGCTCGTTCTCCCGCCTCCCTTCTCTCCCTCCGGTGGCAGGTGTCACAGGTCGGTGCCCATCTTCCTTCAGATCTTCCTCCTGGCGAAGTTTTTCACAGCAGCGCGCCTGCTCTGCATGTTCTAGCCCCCTTGTTCTGCTCTCCTTTTCTCCCAAGCCTTTCTCTCCTTCCATCGTATCTTCGCCTTTTCATCCATATTTAATCTGTCTGTCTCCCCTAGAATGTGACCTTTATAAGGATGGGGGTGTCTGTCTGCCTTGCTCCTGCTGTACCCTCCATCTAGACCAGTGGTTCTCAACCTTCCTAATGCCGCGACCCTTTAATACAGTTCCTCATGTTGTGGTGACCCCCAACCATAAAATTATTTTCGTTGCTACTTCATAACTGTAATTTTGCTACTGTTATGAATCCTAATGTAAATATCTGATATGCAGGATGTATTTTCATTTACAAATTGAACATAATTAAAGCACAGTGATTAATCACAAAAACAATACGTAATTATATATGTGTTTTCCGATGGTCTTAGGCGACCCCTGTGAAAGGGTCGTTCGACCCCCAAAAGGGTCTCGACCCACAGGTTGAGAACCGCTGTTCTAGAAGCTACTGCGGTAATATTCCCTGAATGGATGCTTTCACTTAACTAATGAGAAGCCCAGAGGCGGGAGGGCAGGGCTAGTGTGAGGCCCATCAAGGACACGGGCTCCTTCCTCCTCATGCTCACAAGACAGCTTCCAGGCAGCGCATTTACATTCAGGGCAGAGAGAGGTGCAGGCCAAAGGCTCAGATTCATGGGCTCACTGTTGTCAGCCCCCATGACAACAGAAAAAGAAGAGCTTAAATCTGTCATGGTTACAACTGTGTCACAGGCCACCAGCCGCAAGGAATGCTGGGACACGGCCCTTGGAAACCCATCAGGCTCTGCTGGAGAGGAAGAGGCAGGGACAGAAGTGGGATGGCAGCCAGCAGGGCCCGAGCCGCCCTGGGCCTTCTCTTGCTTCCCCACAACCTGCTGTGGTCCTGGGTAAGGATCCCCTGACTTGCGAAAGGAGCCTGAGGGGGAAATTACCTCATTTGGGGGATGCGTGCCTCCCAGGCATTGCACACGCTGGGATACAATGGTGGGTAAGTATCCAGGTCACCTGGGAAGAACCCTTGTAAATCTTTTCAAACATTTAGGCAAGAGAATGTTTCCCCTTTTCAAACCTGTTCAATTTTCAGTTTCTGTACACATGTGGGCACGATACAGGTATACCTCATTTTATTGTGCTTCGCTTTATTGCACTTTGCAGATGTTGCCTTTTAACAAATTGAAGGCAAGGCCCTTCGCCAGCTAAAAAGTTTCACCTGGCTTTCTTGTGGTGGGTCGGGAAGGGGACCTGCACCACCTCTGAGCTAAGCCTGTAGGGTTGTCCCTCTTCTACCTCCTACTTGGTGAGTCCGTGGAAGTCTTGTCTTCTTTCATTGGTAAAAAGCCATGTGATATTTAATTTCTACACTTTGACTTAGTGTCTCATCTGTACGCACAGTCTGCCACTTTCTCCAAAGACGGGCTGAACAAGATTCTTTTTCTTCTTCTTTTTTTTTTTTTTATTGTGGGCTGAACAAGATTGATGGGAGGGAGAAGTCAGTCCTGAAGCCCATGATTTCGCGACAGGCCGAGCCCAGCAGGATTCTGGAGGAGACATTTCAGTAGCTCCCCTTTTCTTTCTGTTTGTTGGTTTGTTTATTCTGGACTGACCTCATTTTATTTTGTAAGAAAACCAGAAATGACCCACTGAAAAGAATCTACATGAAATGATATGTACGAGTTTTTGAATAAAAATCAGCCACAAACAAGCAATAAATCCTCCATAGGCCAATAGGAAATGGATAGCAATAATGTGTTTCCTGCCTCACTCCCAAAGTACAGATATTTCTTACAATTCAGGGCAATTCATTGTGCTAGTCTGGCATTTATGAAATCCTCATCAGAGTATTAGAGTAGGAACCCATTTCCTAGGAGGTATTATTGCATTAAACTGTAATTAGTGGCTTGTAAACAGCCGTCGTTCATTTTTAATATTAAAGGCATGTGGACTGTCTGGGCACTTCCAGCAGGCCCGGCAGCTCACCTGGGCACGGGGTACACCCGCTGCTGGGGCAGGGTGGCCCCAGGACAGCCCAGTCCCAGCACCCCACCCCAATGCCAGCCTCTGTTGCTTTTCAGATTGCTGGTCCAGATCCTCAGCACGTCGGATTCCCCAAGCCGAACCGGGCGCCCACCTGGAAGCGGGGTAGGCGCCCCCAGGCCAGGCTCACCTTGACACGGTGTGAGACCTCGGGCTACAACACGGGACCCGGGCGCTGCTCCGACCCCTCGTGTCTTGTGTTGCAGCCGGAGGGACGCAGGTCCGCAGCAGAGCCTGCTCCTTCGCCCGGAATCGACGACCGCAGGGACAGCGCGACAGCCCGGCGGGGTACAAGGTGGGTGCAGTGCCCCAGGAGTGGGCGTGAGCAGCCTGCCACTTGGGCTTTTCTTGGGGTGCGATCAGTCTCGGTGCAGGGGTCCGCTGCACCCCTAGTCCGCTCTGAGGATGCTCTCTATTCCTCACCCCCTCTGCTCCCAGATCAGGAGACTAAGGCTCCACAGTGCGTCTTGAAATGCAGCAAGGAAGGCAGTTGCTCCCCAAACACTTCTCCCACCATTGGTGACTACAAGCATTGCACTTTTAGCCGCTGTCTATTACAGTGTATTTTCTGCAATCACTACAGGCATCAGCTGGGTTTCCTTGATCCAATTACTTTCCAATGTGACAGGGACTCAGAGGGAAACGAAATCAGATGTGAATTTCAACAGGGAAGCAGTTCCAAAGGAGGGCCTGACACTGGAGGTGGGAGGCCTCAGAGGCAAGCTGCCTCCCCGATTCCTCAGTCAGGCCACTGGGCGGAGCTGGGGACACGGCACGCTGGGTGACCCCTGCCTTCACAGCTGGGATCTGTGGGTCACATTTGCAAAGCGTGTGCCACCTGGCAGTGTCCTTCTGCCAGACCCGGGTCGATCTCCTGGCCCCATCACCACCCAGGGGTGACGCCACACCTGCCCTGGGTGGTTTTATTCCCTCACTTTTCACCTGCCTCACGGTGCTCACAGACCCTCCTCTCTTGGAAGGGATTTACTAGATTTTAAATATAATCAGCTTAGCGTTTTCCCTCTTTTTGGACGATTTGGAGGGGAGTAGAATAAAATGAAATTTATACCAACCTTTAAACGGAAATGATGGGGAAGCAGGTATTGAGGGGTTTGAGATGAAGGGATGGTCTGCAGCTGGTACTGGGATTCTTAGGCAATTGTCTTTATTTAGGAAAATACCCCTCGATGGAAAGTGAGATCCTGGAGGTGTGGTTTGGCAGATATCACGGAATCAATAGAAACATCTAGATTGGTTTTGATTAGAAATGAATACTAACTTTGGGGTAGGGGAGAACAGAAAGGAAAGGGAGAGAGAAGAGGATGGGTCAAAATGGCGGGGGTTTTATCTGCAATTCGAAGTTGTGTTGCTGAAAAAGAACCATCCTGTCTCCCCCAGCATTCGCTGAAGTCTGTCCTACCTACACAGGCCTGTGTGAACCGGGTTCTGTGGGCTTCTTGGTTTTGGAGGAACTTGGTGGAAGGGGCCGAGTGTCTCATTAACAGCACAGGTGGCCTGATGATTCATAAACCAAACTAATTTAGGAGAAATCATGGTGGAGAGATGTGGGGTTAACTCAGCTGGGTCAACTCAGCTGGGCTGTAGTGCCAAATATTTGGTCAAACTATTCTGGATGTTTCTGTGTCTTTTTGGATGAGATTAACATTCACAAATAAGGAGGAAAGCTTGCAAAGAGGTTATCTCCAAGGATGTTTATCGCAGCATTGTTTATAATACCAGAAGGGGGAAGCAACCCAAATGCCTATCAATAGATGACTGATTAAATAAATATCACGAGTTCTGTACAATAGAATGCTCTACAGACAACATCTTTATATTTAAGGGCATAGGAAATGTGTTCATCAGGTATTAACTGAGAAAGAGTTACTAAAGAGAGTATATAATATGATTCACTTTATATTAACAAAAATGTTAGATTGTATAGAAAAAGTCCTTATGTATGTGTGTGTGTATATATATATATGTATCTATTTAATCTATCTAATATCTATATCTATCTAATATATATGTATATATATTAGGTAACACTAGAATTAGGACAATGAATAATTTTTGTTTTATTTTTTGTACTTGCATTGAGCATCCTCAACATCATCCATCATGTTCAATGATTTACTAGTAGGACTCACAAGATTCAGAAAAGCTGTTATACTCACAGTTATAGTTTATTACAGCAAAAGGATACATATTAATATCAGCCAAGGGAAAGGGCACATAAGAGAGTCCAGGACAAACAAGGACAAGCTCCCATTCGTCCTTGCCGAGTGGAGTCACAGAGACAGAAGTTAATTCTTCCAGCCACATGTGTAACCACACACGTGAAGTGCTGCCAACCAGGGAAGCTCATAACTGGCGAAGCTCACTGAGCCTCGGTGTCCACAGGTCAGTCACGTAGGTATGTAGACCCCACAATCCAGAGTTCAAACAGAGACAGTGTGGCCCGAAGCTTCAGGCATACTTACAAGCAGCGTTCCCCCTAAATCACGTTGTTAGCAGACTCTCTGGTGTCTATCAGGCGTACAAAGACACTCGGCAGGCAGGACACTCCAAAGGCTCAGAGGTCCTCTCCAAGGCTTGGGCCAAGGGCAAGTCCTGAAGGTCTTGCAAAGGTGCAGGTTCAAGCAGCCCACGCCTACTGAGGTACCTCTTTACTGCACGATGCTTTTCTTATTTTCAATGCTCTGCAATAAGCACATGTTGCTCTTATTGTCACAAATAGTAGTGAAACGATTTCCATTTGCAGAAAGTGGAATGCATCAGCAATGTTTGTGTGTTCTCATCCTAACATCCTTAGACAGCATCAATGCAAAATGACAACTTTCCCAGCTGCCAGAGGGGACAGACCCCTCAGTAACTGTAGGTGAAATACATCCTTAAGAAGTAACTTCTTGCCAGGAATTCTCTGAACTTTATAAAGAGTCTCATGGATTTATATACCAGAGAAGGCCAGGCGCCGACTTTCTTACTTCATGTTGAAGAGGAAAATCTCTGTCCAATGATCTGACGGTCAGAGCAGCTGGATAAGAAGGCACCTGGGAGAAGTATTTGTCACCCCAGCCACTTGAGATTCAAATAATTGCAAATCATTTCGTTCTGGCGCCTGTGTTGAGAATTAAGGAGAGAGGATTTCAGAAGTCTGGCCTGCTCCGAGGCTGTTACGCTCTGCTGTTCAGTTGCAGACAGTTCCCATCCTAGATTCAAAGACCAGCCATAGGAAAGATACGTTGCTCTCTCCCCACTTCAGTCACTGCTGTGCTGCCTTTCTTGGCTAGCAAAAAGTAAAAGTAGGAACTGCTTGCTTTCTGTATGCCACGTCCTGTGCCAAATGCTCAGATTACACTCACTCTTCACAACAACTCTGTGGGCTGTAAAATATCATCTCCACTTTATAGATAAGGGACCCCAGGGTCAGTACAAGCCTCCGTGCAGTGACAATGGCATAAAATGAAAAAGGGGCCTCTCCGTGGTGACATTTGAATGAACGCCAGTAAAGCCACACAGTTCAAAATCCTCACAGCCCGGCAGGGGTGGCGGCATCTGAAAGCCATCTTGACGCCCAACCATCACATGTTGCGACATCACGGGGGAGGCATAAATATATTAACATTTTAGGAGAAAAATCTTTCTCTCTCAATTAGAGCAAATGGCACAACCTGAAGAAAAATTCTTAAGAAAAAAGAGAGAAAATCACTGAGTATTCAGCCCAAAGTT